CACACACACACAGTAGAGGACTATACCTTGCTCACTAGCCTCAAGGAGTGCTTCCTGCAGTGAGGTCTTGTTTCCCTCAGATACTCTTAACTCCTGCTGCAACGATTCCACATAATTTTGTAGTTTTACTTCTCTCTCTGTAGGGTATACTATAAACTGATCTTGCCACCATTGTCTCTTCTTTAATAATAACTGATACTTGTCTTGATAGGCCTCAGTAGTCAGACCAGTAGAATCTAGTACTTCACTTACTCTCCATTCACCTTCTCTTAAAACTAATACAAACATGAACGAGGAATAATTCATGTATGTACATGTACATGTAAACATGATGTAATGCTGTTACTAATAATAGAACACAATACATGTAGCATTAGAGGGTAAAATACTATATAAATGTTATGCATTAATTGTTGTTTTATTCACAAATTACAAACCAGAAAATACATTTTAAAGGACAATTGCTAAAATAAAGTGCCGGCCAAATGGCACCAATACACTGCACTATACACAGAACATGCTAATTTGGTTATGTCAACTATCATTGCAGTTCATTATAACAATAATAATTCCCTCATGTTATGTTATGGAATACCAGCAATGATGTATTCAAACTTAAATTTAAGTTGTATCGCCAATAAATCCCTCTATACAGTACATACAATACAAAATACTTCAGTTCTTACCTAGTTCTATTAACATTGTGATATTAGGATCAGTGATATAGTCAGCAAATGCTTGCTTGTATCCTCTTCCTACATCTTTCCATTCAGTTGCTAGATACCCACCCACTACCACCAACCACACACAGTCTGGACTCATCATTATTGATGATAAGGAATGAGAGTCTCTACCAGTAACAGATTCAGGTAGAACAATCTGTTGAAATAGTACATGTATGGTAACATTTTATCATGTAAACAGTATTTACAATATGTTACAAATATTCAAGGGAATATACATGTACATGCATTAGGTACATGTACTGTACATGCACACAGTGAGTATTTCTAAGCTATTAATACAATACAATACATTAACATGACAACTACTGTACAATCACTGTATCACACACATGTACTCTCTAAACTAATAACATTATACACATACCTTACTCCACTGGTACTGACTAGTATTCAGTAACCAACTATCATTTACTAGTTGATCATCTTTACCCTCTCCACCTATCATTACTAGTGTAGGTGAGTCACTGATGATACTAGTAAAAGCATGAGCACATCTCCCCACAGGCCACTGTACACTAGCAGGTACTACTGGTTCCTTAACACTCTCCCAGTGCTAGACAAAATGAATTAATCAATATTATAAAATGTATTAATGCATGTACACTGTTCTATTATACTTAAGAGTTTGTAAATTTAATTATAAAATAATTATGTTAATACTAGTGATAATTGTAGTTTCCATTAAAATAAATTATTAAACCAAATCTACATGTAATACTCATTTAAATACATTTTTCAAATTACAAGCTATACCTGTATGTACATGTATTAATGTCCAAACATGATTGATCCATGCAATAAATACATCCCATACAGTAATAAGATAACTTACTATTGTAGTATCAGACTCCAGTTGACATGTATAGACTGTATTAACAGATATATCATAATCATCATCCCTAGGCACTGTTCCACAAAACATGACAGCTTTATTATTAGTAATCTTTTGAATAGCAAAGGAACTAGTAGGAGGACAACACTGACCACTAATAGTTGGAATAATCCATTGTCCTAAATAGAAATAGATAGTATAATTAGAATTATTAAGTATGACACTCCAAATATCATGTACATACATGTATAGCAAGAAATAATGGGTGCGAATTAATTTTGATGATTGAAGGTTTTG